TTAGTTACAGCTTTAATTACATTCAAGTATTTCTTAAATATTAGTACAATGTAAAAACGTACACAATTAGTGCATTGTATCAAATTATTAATTTAAATGTTACATAGTAGTTAAAGACACCTAATATATGGACCAATGTTTGTTTTTAAGAAGAAGAAGAAAAACATGCAATTCTTGAAACTTTTAAAATCACAGAATCGTTAAAACCAGATTGTACCACCAGTTGTAACTGAGTTATGGTCTGGCAAAGCGTCATAGACAAATCATTTCCAGAGGGGCGTCACCAACGGACGTCGCGGATAGACCTAAACCCAATCAGAGCGATGAAGGAGATGGCGTATGCAGAGCGGCGGAGAAACATTTACGAGTGTGGTTCTTTGCTCGGTTTTTAACTAAAAGGAAACGTTCAAATGGCTTAAAACAGACGTGATAGCTGATTCGAACTAGTGATGTTCGACGGCGGCATCCATCTTTGTAATGTAGGCTACAAAATCTGCTTCAAAATCCCAGCGCTGTCGTCATCGTGTGAAGCCCGCCCCAATGTTTCTGATTGGTGCCGCGATTTCGACGGATTGGAAATGGGCTTGAATGAGCTCTTTGCCAGACTAACTTTCAGAGCAAATCTAAATTTGTCGGAAGTTGTCTGGGTTTTCCCAGGCTAATATACCAATACTCCCAGTCTGAAAACAAGCAACTTTGGGAGGTTGAAATAACCTGAAGATGAGTATATGACAAGCATCATTTTCATTCAGTCCGTCTAATTCGATCCAATGGCGGTATCGATTAGAGGTGAAGGTCACATGCGCGTTCCGTCTCTTCCAATGGCAAAGGGATTTTTAATTAAATACAATACATTTTGTTTTATGTATTAACTCGTTTCATCTGACTCCATAAAATGAAAGTGTTTTTCAATGATATCTGTGCATCTTTAAATATACGTTAATGTTTGACTATTCCTTTTAACTCCAATGAAAATGAAGTCAAAGTCTGTTAGAATAATCAAATATAACAATTTATTATGGCAGGTAAATGTATTATAACAATTCCATAATCAATTGAAAGATAATCAATGCAAATCATCAAATGTTTTAGGATTAGAGAAATAGATGCAAACCCAACATTTACGAACTACATGAGCTACCTCATGGGCTATCTGAAATACAGAAAAAAGCCACGACTCCTTGCTGCATTCCATTAAATAGCCAGAACTTCTTTTCAATGGTAATTTGCATTCAGGTTACACCTTATTTTGGGGGTAGGGGAGAAAGGCCATTTGTCCACCTTTCTTTGTGTGCCAGTTTCTCTAAACTTCTAAAAAAACCTTATTACCTTTTGTTTTACTTATTTGGAATGAGACATCTGAACCAGCCACCCTGTGACCTTTAAAATGATACTAAACACAATAATCATTCACATTAAACCATATATATACTTGTGTGGGGGTTTAGCTGTTACTGGGTGAGAGAATGAAATCAGGTGAGACTGCGTGAGGGGGAGGTCGAATGTTAATTTTCAGCAAGTTCCTTTGTTTCAATAGACCATGTGGTCAGGACAGTTTCTCCAACAAGTTTTACAGTCTTACACCGGGATGAACGATTTATTTCCCTGCAGTTATCCTTAATAATTGTGTCTCTTTGTTGTTCTGTTGTATTGTTTTCTCATCGGTTAGTTGAGGAGCAAGCTGACGCCTCAGGAGATTCAGCAGTTTGCTCTGTTCCTGAGAGAATACAGACTCGGTGCTCCGATAGAGCAGTTCTGCACTGACCTGCTGCAGCTCTATGGAGACTCACGCAAGTTCCTGCTGCTTGGTGAGAAACACACAATACAAAAGTCACCATTCTCTCTCTCTCTCTCTCTCTTTCTCTTTCTTTGCTGCTTTTGAACAATTTGAGTGCCTGTTGTTTAAATTCTCAAGGGGGCTTGTTTGAACGACTGGATTTATTTCATGTTGAGATCCTCTCTTTATACAAGTCGTATTTCAAAAGTCATGATTTGTCAGAACTGGCATTGTATGCAGGGCCTGTGTAATTGCTGTCTGTCTATCATTAGCTCATTAGAGGGATTAGAGTAACATGAAGCCTAATGAATATTCATGAGCACCTGGCTTGCAGCCTTTCCAACAACATCACACTTTCACAGCGTGACAGAATTGCAAAAGTCACTAAAACAACACCAGTCGCTGTGAGAAAAGAAACATGACACAGACTATAAATAGCTCTATGACCACGATTCACAACTATAAATAACTACCATCCCAAATAGATCTGTATCTAATACAGATTTAGAATAGAGTCATTAAATAATTAAAATGAATTGTACAGTATTCTTCCCACTGTGACGCAAACTTGTCCAAGTTGATTAAAAAACCTTGTGGATACGTGAGTTGGTAAAGGATAAAGCAACTCGCAGCAATTGTGTACGACAGGGACACAATTACATAAGACTTACTGAGCCACTTATACCTCATCTATCCTGACACTCAAGCAAAAGGCTGAGTCAGCTTAATACTGGTCTGAATGAGTGTGAGACTGTCCACTCTTTGACTGTAATCACCATTCAGTATTGTTAGTGTTAGTTGCAGCGCTGAATGGAGACATTTCATCACAAACATTTTTGAATGCAGGGGAAAAGCAGTTTAAATGGAATTAGTATGTTTATCTGGTCTAGAGATCTCATAACGTGAAGTGGTTTGTGTGTGTGTGTGTGCGTGTCCTGGTAAACCTTCATTATGGGGATAAAATGTCTCCACAAAGATGTCAATATCTGAAATCCATGTCCTTGTGGGGATATTGTTTGGTCCCTATGAGAAAAACAGCTTATAAATCATACAGAAAGAGGGTTTTTGTTTTGTTTTGTTTTTTAAAAAAAGGTAAATTGCATAAAGTATTCTCTGATGTGTAGGTTTAGGAGTGGGGTTAGTGTAAGAGAATATAAATGTACAGTTTAAAAATCATTATGTCTATGGAAAGTCCACAAAACATGAAAACACAGCATACCATGATACCAATCATTGGCATACCATGATACCAATCACATTATGTGGTAAATTATGAAATGTTTAAATAAAAATAAAATGTATTTATACTAATAAATAATAATTCTAAAAATATTTGTATATTATTTCTAAAAATATGTATACTACTATTCACAAGTCTCTTATGCTCACCCAGGCTGGGATTGTTTGATCAAAATTACAGTAATATTGTGAAAAATGTTGCAACTGTAGTAAAAAAATTTCAGCATTCATTAAAAACAGGAGTTTTTACTGCCAATTTTGATCAATTTAGTGTGTCCTTTCTGAATATATGTATTCATAAAAAAAAAAAAAAATCTTTTTGACCCAAAATGTTTGAATAGTGATTTTTTTATATATATAAAAATTCTTTATAATGTATTTATTTTAACAGTTAACATCTTATAAGACAAATATTCTCAATTATGATCCAACAAATTCCTACTCTCTAAGAATACAGGACTATGGTGCATTCTCACGTATTTCCTCTCCTCTGTAACCAGGCATGAGGCCCTTTATTCCAGACAAGGATGTAGGAGTGTTCGAGACATTTCTGGAAGACATAGGGATCCGAGAGGGTGGGATTTTGACGGACAGTTTTGGCCGGATCAAGCGGAGCATGAGCAACACATCGGCCACAGCAGTCCGTGACTATGATGGCTGGACCCTCCCCTCCGGTTCCCAGGATTTTAACCGCAGAATTGATGACATCACACACAACATTGAGGCTTTGGGATTTGAGGAGGGGAATGGAGACATAGAAGAGGAGGACTATTACCTATGAAACGTACAGAAAGACTTCATACAGTATATATATATATATAATTGGAATTTTATTATGAAACCTTTTAAATAGTTAAACATTTACAGTATATGTGCACTTTATTAGGCCACTAAGTTGCTGTTCATGAAAAAAGTTTTTGCATCAGATTTGCATCTGTAAATCTGCGTATTATTTGCATGCAAGTTTGGTTATGTTCTGCGTGAATGATTTACAAAAGAGCTTCAGTGAGCAAGTGCCACAAAAGAAAACAAGAAATGACATTATTTGGAGAAAAGGTCACTTAGATATAAAAGAAGAAAATGAGAAATATGATGATGATGACAATGATGAAGAGTTTGTTTCCACCCAGTGTACAGTACACAGTAACCTGCTGGAGCCGAAGGGTCAATAGGGCTGATGTCTGCAGGGAGAATAACTCAGCCTTGACATTCTTTCCAGTGACAGTCACCTTGCCACAATCTGATGCCCTTCCCCTCTCTGCCCTCTTATCTGTGCCAACCACAGGCGGTTGATGGGCACTGCGCCCAGCATTAGGGGTTATCAGAATGGCACATACATCTGTCAGGCTAAACGTTTGTTATGTAATGAAACCAGACAGAAGAACAGGGCCACGCAGGGTTTGGATTAAAGTTAAACCTCTTCTCACACCCAAATAATCTTAGTACACAAACCAGCAGGGGACAACTGGGAACACATTTTGTCCCAGGCCCTGTGACAAGGGGTCAACTAATGTCCTCTGTGGAAAAGCCTAGTCATTGAGTCAGAGGATGGAGATCTCATACATTATTACATCATATACAGTCTTGACTCAAAAAAGTGCTAATTTGGAGACTTCCGGGTCCACAGTACTGTTATAATTATGTACAACAATATAAAATATAATTAAGTAAAATATTGTGATACCTAAAATGTGAGTTGAAAGGACACATTTTGCTACTCTGCAATGAGGCATTTAAAGTAAGACTAATATCAGAACGCCTTAAATATAGACCTTTGATCTATGCAATATGAATATTTAAAATAAACATAATAACAAAACAGCAGAAACTGCATCAGTGCTTGCTTTATTTTCTCTCTCTCCCTCACAGAGCGCGCCTGATGATTTATTTCAGACGCTTCGGGACTCATCAGCCAATCAAATTCACGCATGCTCGCTCTATTTACTAAAATCCTGTACTCCAAGCCAATCAGATAAGAGTGGGCGTGTCCGGATGAGTCGCGGCGGGGAAGAAACAGAATTGAGCATCAGCCGACGGTTTATTTCACCCGAGAATGGCGGCTGCTGCGTGCAGTCCGCAGAGTTCATTAACCCCGTGCACTGGCAAACTGCACAGAGAGCACCTGCGGAAAAGTAAAGACTCGCGGAGGAGACAAGCCGCGCTTTTATTTCTCACTAATATATCCCTGGACGGACGGCCTGTGCGGAGCAATGCGAGTGCAGCGGGACCCCAGGATGCCGAGTTTCAGTGCGCTGACATCGGCGCGACTGTGAACGAATTGCCCGCTGCTGCTGCTGCAAGTGGCGATGGGACCTTCTCCAGCCTCGCTGTGCCCAGACTCGGGCTGCTCAGTGTCCCGCCCATCCTGGTTCTTCCGTCGGATTCTGAGTTCAGTAACGTCGGGAGCACCGAGGTGTTCCTGGAGAGGGAGAGAGGCTCGTTCTCCTCGCAGAATAACCTCCTGTCCCCGTGCAGTCTGCAGCCCACTCCTCTCGGGGCGCGGAAGTCTCCGACGCTGCTGTCCGTGCAGAGCTGCGGCTCCTCGCTGGACTCGAGACCGCGGTGGGTTCAGCTCAGGTTTCTGAAGAAGGCTTTCACTTTAGAGGCTTTGCGCTCGAGATAGCGCGGTTTAATGCACTCTGATAGTTTACATGAACTTCTGAGAGAGACAGTCCACTTGGGTTGTGTGTGTCTCAAAATCTAGCGAGCTGTCTAGTGCCTACCTAGACAGCGTATTTGGGCATCTAAACTGTCAAGGTTGCATTATTTGATATTATTACTCGACTTTTTATCTAAACGCTATTCATGCTTACATTTATTTATTGATTTTCTAGAAATGCTGGACCCATTGTATTTTCTCTAAAATTATTACTATTAGATATTACTATTGAACCGTTAAAAATCGATATTTTGTTTTGAGTTTTGTGGTCCAGCACTTAACTATAATCTTTTGTCAAAAAGTAAAGGTGGAAAGTTGGTTCTGCATATCAGATATTTTAAAACATCAGCATCAAAACAATATCAATAGATGCATTACTTAACATATTTAGCATAAATTCATTTTCACAATAATTATAATTGCAGAAATAGTGCATGATTAATGAACATTCCAATACTAGTATAAATTCCTAATTAAAATGTCTAAGGTGGCTCTAATGCTACATTTACATGAGGCGGGTCTGAGAAGGCATATGGCTTTTATGCAACACTGCATTACACATCCATTTCATTTGCTGCTTACTTTGTGACACTCGTTCTTGTGATACAAAGACATTTTAAAACATTACCTGGTCACAGTCACACTTTACATCAGTGTTCTTTTTTACTTATTACATAATAATGCTGTTGAACAATATAAAATTAATGTGTACATATTTTTGGAGCATTATAATTTGCATTTATTGCTTCTTTAGTTAAATATATACAGCACAGCATGGACACATGATGTAAGGTGTTAGTCATTACTCTGACCAGTTTTAATAAGCATGTTTTGTAACAAATTTGACCCAACCTACATATTTAGTGGGAGAGGCACCATAGAGTCATTCAGGCTAATGATACGAGGAGTTGGAAATGTTTGTGAGAGATGACTTAATGTTGTCAACCTCATCATTCACTTCATATTTTTTAATTATTTACTATAAATTCTAAAGAACCGTTTACAGCAAATATATATACAAAACGCAAGTATATTATGCAATTGTATTTATGGTTGGAGGAGCATTTAATGTTTCTTCATGTGATTTTGAGTAAGTACTGTATATCTGTCCAATCAGAGTTCAATTTGTTTGTGCTTTAAATATAAACCCCTCTTTACAGTGAATGAACCATCTACAATTACGTACTTCTGTAGGTAGCTGGTTTGAAACGCACCTTTTTCCAGTTTTCTTCCAAATTCCTTTCCAAATAATACTTTTACCAATATCAAAAAATGTCTTTTGAAAAAAAAAGTATGAAAGTTTCAGACTGAACTACTGATAAACCGAGGCTGAAGTGACAAGCCACCTCTATAGATTTGATCTGCTTGACTTTTAAATGTTGTTCCAGAGACACGAAAGTATGTGAAAAAGACTGTGTTTTCATTCTCACTAGTACACTCATTGACCACAGACTGAACAAGCCCTTTTCTGGAATCCAGATGACTTCACAGCCAAATAAACGTTGCCTAAAAATGGCCATTTATTTGTGCATGAACTGGGTTGGTTTATCTCTCCCCATGAGGAAGTGAAAAGACTAGTGAGAGAACGACGTTTGTTTTGCTCTTAATCTCAGTAATAGTTCATTGAGCAGTAGGAGGTCTTTATTCCCTCGACTGTACCTCCCCCAACCCTCTTCCCCTTTTTACTTTAAAAAGGGTGTGGCTGTGACATGTAGATTCAAACCAGACTGACGGCCAAGGCAGTCGTTTGCTCTGCTTTATCAGTTGGAGCTTTGAGGTCAGTCCGTGCTGCATGTAAGGGTGATGGTGTTCTTCCAGCGCTGCACGCTGCTTTGTGCACACAGTACCTGCAGAGATTAAAGCTGAAGACATTCTGTCATATTCTCAACCCTTCAAAGGGTCTCTGCAGGCCTGAGGGAATGAACCGTCTCCGCACTGGAGAATAAATCAGGGCTACATAGCATGAACTTGCTTGATTCAAATGTTACGGTTTCTTAAAATAGTTCCAGAAAATGCATCCAGCAGGCATTTAAATGGCCATGTCCTTGCTTAAAAACCACCTTTCAGGGTAAATTATATTTGTAGAGCATAACCGTTCTTATCGTGGTTTTATCATCGGAAGTCAAACGCAGTGAGTGAGTGAGTGATGTGACATTCACAATAAAGACAAAAAGATAGTCTGAATAGTCCAACAAGTAGGAGCTTGTTGGCCACTCTTGCCAAATTCTCAGCCTCGTGCATTGTCAGAATGCTTTGAGGCTTTAAACTGTTTATGTAGTTGCTCAAAACAAAGCTGGTATGTAATTAATAGAGTTTTACAAAGATGTTGTATCTTACCGTCTCTTCATTTAAGATGTTCTCACATTGAGCTCTAGTACCAATGTTTTTCTGATGAAAAGATCATGTTTGATGAAGACATTCTCCAACCTTAGGGTTAGTCATTCAAAAGTGAAAATTCTGTCATCAGTCACTCAACCTCCTGTCATTCCAAACCCATAAGACATTTGTTCTTCTTCGAAACAAAGATATTTTTAATGAAACCTGCATGAGAGATTTCTGAACGTCCATTGGAAGTCTGTTCCACCAATACTAATGCTTCAAAAAAACGTTCCATTTACCATATCTGTTGTGCTCTATTTGCACGTTGATCAAAGTTTTATATGTAAATAAAAGCCCAAATTAAATTAGTTCATCATGCAGTTAAAGGTGCCCTAGAATGTTTTTTTTTATATAATGTTTCCTGGGTTACCCTTATAATGTTAGTATGTTTTTTAGATAAAAAATAATCATAATTTAGAAATAAATGGCATTTTTCCTAGCCTGCTTTTAGCCTCTGATTTGAACACTCTGTTTGAAGGGGCGTGTCTGCTGTGGGATTCAGTGTAACCGCGGCCACTGCTGTGATTGGCTGACATGCTTGCATATGAAATAGCAACGCATTACATGTGAAACTCTCTCCCGAATACTGTTACTACTACTATTATACGTTTTTACTATAACAGCTATCGAGATTAACGAATCGTGAGATGTTTTTAAAGTATTTAGATCTATTCCCATCACATAAAATGTTGCCGTGATGAGCATTGAGCAGATGACAGTGTGTTGATCGCGAGAATGAAGATCTTATCATTGCAAAGCAGTTTCTGCACTCTCTCTGCTTTCACCAATGCAAACACGATGATGTAAATACAGTAAGAGCTTCGTTGTGCAGTAACGTGCATCATTGATTTCATAACGAGTTTGGCAAGTGTCCAGATAAACTCGCGCTGTGTGGAAAGATTGTTCTTTGACCGCTTTCTGTATATAATTTGTTCACAATTTAAATACGATTATTTTCATCCTACTAAAAGAAACGATGTGAAGCTGATATTTTAGTCACTGGCTTGACTTACTGATGCATAAACAGTATTGAACGATTTTGAGAGAAAGATTACCTGTCTGAACTTGAACAATTACACATCAGAAAGTGTTGCTTGGTAGCTCGATCCGAGGCCAGCTCTGTATTGGCCCAAGTTGAGGAAACAGTCGGTAAAATGTTTGGAAATTTCCAGAGAAAATAAAATTAACCCATTGTTTCTTCAGAGGCTCAGATGAAGGAACTAAAAAATACTTTTGTGTTCATGTGTACATCCACACTGAGCAACTGCCATGCTTCGGCTGCGCAGTTCCGCCTGGCATTGAGGGCTGGCATTATGCAAATATTTGGAGGCGTACATATTAATGATCCCGACTATTGCGTCACAGTCGGTATTGTGTGGAGAACCGACCGTTTTTCAGGGGTGTTTTTCATAAACGTGAATTAAATGAGAACGCGAAAACAGTCCAGTTTGAGATTCACTCTATGTCATGTCCATTCACTCTATGTCATGTCCATGCACTGAACTCTTGTTATTTGACTATACCAAAGTAAATTAAATTTTGAATTATAGGTCACCTTTAAGTCTCTTCAGAAGACTTTGATTAAAGCGCTAAATTCATATGATTTACTTTCAGTATCCTTTTATGAACTTTTTGAAACGTCAACGTTTTGGTGGAATGGATGGAAAGAAATCTCTCAGGTTTTACTAAAAACATCTTCATTTGTGTTTCGAAGATGAACATAAATCTTGTGGGTTTAGATCAACATCAAAGTAACTGATAACAGTATTGGGTGATGTTTTTGGAGGTTATGTCTTGCTATTGACCCTCAACATATAGGCTATATTTTGACCAATCAGCTTTCTTTAATTCAAAATCATTCACTGGTTGATGCTTACTTATTGTTTTGCGCGCAGTAGCGAAAAGTTTGGAGAGAGTGTATACCTGACGAATTATTCTATTAAAAATAAGTTATTATCGCCAAAATGTTAAAAGGACAGTCAAGCATATTTTAATTTTTCATATCCACGAGTAAAGCTGATGGTGTTTCTGATCAAAAGATATCCTGTGAAGATGGAACTGCACAATTCTGCTAATACTAATTAGCAGACACGAATATGGAAGATTGTTTCTGCCATGGAAAAAAAACTATTTAAAAGATAATTGCAACTTTTTTTCTTACAATTGCAAGTGTATATCTCGCAAATCTAACTTAGTAACACGCAGCTGCAAGTTTAAAACCCGCAATTCTGGCTTTATAACTCTCAATTGCGACTTTATATCAAGCAATTCTAACTTTATAACTTGCAATTGCAAGTTTATATCTCGCAATTGCAAGTTTAGATCACACAATTCTAATTTTATAACTCACAATTGCAAGTTTATATCACACAATTCTGACTTTATAACTCGCATTTGCAAGTTTATATCATTTTATACTCCATATCAGCCAGTACTCAATATTACATTATTTGGTTTGGGGGCCTAAAAAACTTGATTGGGACATCCCTAATTAGGTCTACCACTATTTGACACGTTGAGTCTG